GAGCCAATCAGTGGCAGTAATGACAGAGCATGCGCTGTTACGCAAAAACCGCGATAGAGCGAAGCTGCGGAAGTCGAAGCGCGAAGTGGCGAGGGCTCACTGTACGCTGATGCCCAGCCAGAGCAGCTGCTCCACGGCCTGCGGTCCCTTCTGTCAGCCCTGCGGTGACACCAGTCCCTCCCTCTCTACTTGTTTCCTGCAGTTTCCACCCTTCCCTCCTGTAAGCTGCCACCATGACGCTGACCCGAGGGTCCTTCACCTACTCCAGTGGGGAGGAGTACCGTGGCGAATGGAAGGAGGGTGAGCAGGACCCCTGGGGCATCCCGTGATGACCACTCCCCTGTGGCAGCGGACACAGCCGTCAGCTTTCTCCTCCGTCTTCCATCTCCAATGCCAGAACCTCATTTCCAACTAGCTCCCGCCTTCAATTCCCTGCTAGGATTAAATACAAGAACTGGCACATTCTGTTGTCAATGCAGCCTCCAGAACTGAGTTAAACCTCTCTCCTTGTAAATTTTGAAGTGTCTTACACATCCTTTAGTGGGGTTATTTGGGGATTGTTTTGGTAACGGCTGATGAATGAGCTCCTTCGAATCTTGTTTAAGTGGTCAGAGATTTAGAGAGAGGACAGAAGTCCCGGCAGACACGTGGTGCCAGTGAATCGGAAGACGTGAAGGAAGGTCTGGGAACGAGGAGACACTCCCGAGCAAATGTTGTGCGGTGCCTGAGCTTCTGGCTGTGGCTCTTTCTTTTGGAAGCATCTAGTTGGGAATGGGAGCGACATCTCTCTGGAGCCCGAGGCCATCCAAGAAGCGCTTTTCAAAAGGATGTTCTGTTTGGGAACTCGGTCTAGGTCTTTCGGGTCCAGTTGGGAGACTTGACTTTGGACAGCTTTGCAGGTGAAGAACGAGGAGCCCATGAGCAGACCTGCAGCAGGTTCCTTTGTTCACATTAGAGCCCTGCAGCTGAGGACTTCCTTCGCTTTGAGAGGAGGACCGTGCAGCTATGATGTGACCTTGCCTTCCTCCCCCTCAAATCTGTTCGCTGGCCTCCTCAGCCCCTCCCGTCCCCTTTCATAAGGTCTTCTAGCCTGGAGCTCCCCTGGGCAGTCAGTCCCCGCACACCCTGATTCAAGAGCATATGCTCCTCAGTCACCGGGTCCGTCCAACGGTGGAGCCCAGCTCCGACGTTTGCCACTTCGCTGCATGGTGCTAAGGGCCCCTATCTGATTCTTCAGAGGCAAAGCCCACCGGAAATGCTGAGGGCTGCATAGTCCCACAGTCTGTTTGCTTTCTGGCTCTGCCGCCGGATCCTTCTGTGACCTGAAGGAAGTTGTCTCCTTGCCGCATCAGTAGAAACGGCCATAGGACTGTCCCTGCCCCGCAGGTGGTCGTAAGGACAACATAAGATGATGACGACCCAGTGGTTGGCTGCCTGCCTCTGACTTTAGGAAGGCTCCAGGAGTCAGGTTTTCTCAGTGCGGGGCTTGGGCTGGCAGTTTTCTGGCCCTAAATGGCTCCTGCTTCTCGGCTGCCCTTTGTGGGTGGGGTGGGGGGAGGTAAGGGGTGCTATTGGCATGACAAGGGACCTGCAGCTGTACCATCCCATCCTGACTCCCATCTGTCTCTGCTCAGGCCGTAGGCATGGCTTTGGTCAACTGCTGTTTGCAGACGGTGGCACCTACCTGGGCCATTTTGAGAACGGGCTGTTTAATGGCTTCGGGGTCCTGACCTTCTCAGACGGCTCAAGGTGGGTGTCCTGTCTGCTCTTGTTTTTCCCTGCTGTAAGAACGGGGCAACGGGGAGACGGATCTGGTGAACCCAGAACTTGTCTTGTACCCTGCAGGAAACAGGAAGGGATCACAATGACCTTTTGAGGAGATCTAAGATTCAAAATGGTCCTCCTCTCCCCCCACACCCACCTGTGTTCCGGTGTCATACAACCTCTCTGCCCCATCTGTGTTGGGCCTGGGGTGGCTGGAGGAGTGGCGCCCTGTGCCAGGCGCAATTCTCCATGCTCCTTGGCATTCTTAAATTGGTAGTTACTCGGTGACCCTGGTCAGGTGACTCAGCCAGGTGAACCCCACCCCCACCCCCAAAATGACAGGCATATCCGTGTTTCTGCAGGTATGAGGGGGAGTTTGCCCAGGGCAAGTTTAATGGTGTCGGGGTCTTCATTCGGCACGACAACATGACCTTTGAAGGGGAATTCAAAAACGGCAGAGTGGATGGTTTCGGTAAGTTGTGGCCCAGCTGGAGGGGTGGTGGTGGCTTTCCATGAGCATGACCGAAAACCAAACTCACTGCCGTCCAGTCAGCTCCGACTCCCAGCCACCCTGTAAGACAGGGTAGAACTGCCCCCGTGGGTCCCCCAGACTGTCACTGCTTTGGGAGTAGGAAGCCCGTAAGTGTGAGCACACTCTCACATAGCAGCCCCGGTGGGCTTACAGGAGTAGAAAGCCCAGTCTTTCTCCCGAGGAGCTGCTGGTGGTTTTGAACAGCTGACCCTGCGGATCTCAGCACAATGCGTAACCACTATGCCACTGGGGCTCCTTTAAGTGAGTGGAGGCACACCTTTCCCACTTTAGTTCCTGACAGGGGTCCCCTATCCATAGTGACGGTGCCCTCATGGCTGTACACTGAACTTTCCCCTGGTGGGGGGGGCCTCTCTTCTCTCTCTCTGTCTCTGGGCTGCTGTGTAGTGACCTGGTCGTGTGCGCCATCATCAGGCCCCGTGTTCTCTCTCCTCCCCAAAGGGCTGCTGACTTTCCCTGACGGCTCTCACGGGGTCCCCCGCAATGAGGGCCTGTTTGAGAACAATAAGCTGCTGCGCCGCGAGAAGTGCTCAGGGGTGGTCCAGCGGGCGCAGGGAGCCTCCAAGTCAGCCCGGAGCCTCGCCGCCTGACGGGCCCGGGCAAAGCAAAGACCCCAGAGGTTCCCTGGACCGGTGGACCGACCCGTGGACTGGCAGCCCTGTGATGTGGGTGCCCCATCACCTGCCGATCAGGAAGTCGCTGCACACACACAAGAGCCGAGGAGCCTGGCCCGGAGAGCCGGCAGCCCATTCCCAGTTCTGCTCCTCCCTCTGTAAGTAGCCCGGATGTGCGTGTGTAAACGACAGAGGAGCCTCCTGCTCTCACTTGTTGGTCCCCCTGTGTCCCCCAAACCTTGGGTTACCCAGGGTGGGCCCGCTGCTGCCTCCACGTCGTCATCTGCCCTGTTGTGCCGAAGGTCTTCACCCTGCCCACATTAGGGGCAGAGAGAGGGTCCTGACTCCTACTTAGGGCCAGTGCTTTGGGCTGCCCTGGAGAAGTAATAGAAAGAGAGGGTGGGAGTGGGGGTAACTCGGTACCCCACGGTGAAGTCCCCAGTCAGAGCTGCCCAGTCTGGAGGCCCTCCTGCACTGCTGGTGGGGATCCTGGCTCCACGCTCTCTACCTCGTCTGCAGCACTGGTGCTCGTCTGCGTCTGCACCTGGGGAGGGCTCAGTAGAGTGCAGTTTCCTCTCCACCCACTGTACAAGCCACCTTCCTTACCCGAGTTCCAGCAGAGAACCCCCAGCCCGCCCTCTCTCCCTCCTTCGACATAGCAGGGTCCCTTTACAGGATGTCCATATCTTTCCAACGCTAGGGGAAGGCCACTCCAGGCCGCGCCTTGGGAAGGGCTTGGCCTCATGCAGTTCCTTCCTGGGCGTCCAGCAAGTCATACCAACCTCAGCTCCCTGAGATTTAGGTAGAGCTGGCCCATCCTGAGCCTGCCGTGAACTCGGAGGGCCCCCAGCTCACTGCATCCTCCCCTCGAGCCCTGGCCATCAGGCCCGGGGACCCAATCTCTATCAGTAGAGTCCCCTCACGTGGCGTCTCAGGACCTGTGGTTACGTGGTGACCAGACCTGCCCCCTCGCCCCTGTAGCCTCACTCTGAACGTCTCTTCAGCCGTTGTGGTGGAACTCAGTCATGTGCCTCTGTGTAACCTCCGAGCTGTACTGCTGGTGTGGAATAAACGAGTCTCAGACCACTTGCCCTTCCTTTCCTGGGTCGCTCTCGGGTGCCGTCTTCATGAGCATAAACCCACTTGCCCTTTCTAAAAGGTCACCAGACTGGGCCTGGTGCTGGGGCTGCCCACCTAACATCACCTGATTTGCACCAAACCACCGCCAGGTAGGAGGAACATTAAACAGATAGGCTCAGGTTGCCCAAACTAGCAAGTGGTGAGGCTGCCCAGGCCTGTGTCCTGGCCTCCCTCTTGTCCTCACCCTGAGCACGGAGTCCTCCTGTCTTGAGAGACACTAGTTACCTCGGATAAGGCCATTTGGCTGGAGGGTCTCCTTCCTCTGCAGCAAGTCCATGCCCTCCCGGTCCTTGCCTGTGCCGCTCACTGCCATCGAGTTGATTCTGACTCACGGCGACCTTACAGGACAGGGCAGAACAGTCCCTTCTGTACAGAAGTAGGAAGCCTTCTCTTTGTCCCTACCAGCTTCAGATGGGTTAGAACTGCTGACTCTGCAGGCAGCAGGCCAACGCACAATCCCTACGCCGTGAGGGTTCCTTCAGCCTTTTACATGCGTGACCCTGTGAGGAAAAGCTAACCCAAACCAATCCCCTAGAGGCGATTCCAGCCCCCCATAGCCCTAACGGACCGTGCTTTCTGGCCCATAGTGACACTGGCTTCTGAGGCTGCAGTCAGAGCAGCTGGTGGACTGAGACGCCCTGAGGGGAAGTGCCTGTATTCTCCCCCTGCAGACAGGCTCCAGGAGGGTACATTTCCCCCAGGTCTGAGTCACCGGACTCTGATGTCTGTGGAAAGTCTCAAGCTTTCTTCTCACCACCATGCCCGGTTAACATTCGAACACATGCCTCTACATCCATCCCTCCTCTAACCGTTACCATAAATTAGAATCCATTCCCCTCCCATGAGGAGTCCTGGGAGAAAGACAGACAGGGCTTTCTACTTCCGTGAAGTTACAGCCTTGGAGACCACAGGGAAGCTCGACTGCCCTGTCAGGTCTCTCTGAGTCATGGGTCGGCATCACCTCGACGGCAGTGAGCTTGGTGGGGTGTGGGGGCAGGAAGGAGCCTGTTGGACAGGCATCGGCCCGCTAACTGCAAGGTTGGTAGTTCAAACCCACAACACCGGATGGGAGGGAGAAAAGACCATCTTCTCCCATAAAGATGTATGGCTATGAGGCCGGGCGAGTCCGCCGCAGTGGGTTTAGTTTGATTCAAGCTTCCTCTAGGAGTCCTGGTGGTGCAGCGGTGAAATGCTCAGCAGGGGATGCTCTGGGGAGAAAGGTGTGGCAGAGCGCCCCGCCCCGGGAGACGGACAGCCTGGACAGCTCCCTGGGGCAGTTCCACACTCTCCCCTGGGTGACAGGTCAAACAAGTTTGGGTTGAAGAGTCGAATCAGCTCCGTTTTCCAGCACTAGTCACAGCCCTAACCAGGCCTTTCTGATCAAAGTGCAAGGTGTTCCAAGTGTCTCAGGTGAACCTTCTACCTCTTAGCCCTCCCTTTGAAAGCTTTGATAAGCCTTCCCCTTGGCCGCCACAACCTAATGCCTTAATGCCCAGGCTGCCAGGCCTCTCAGGGTGGGAAACCGCAGACCCGGAGGCCTGACTTGCCTCCACTGGAAGGTTCTTAGCATCTGGGCAGGAATCCCTTGGGACAGGGCAGGCCTGGCCACCCCATCACCCTGGTGCGTCGATCTGTCCATCCAGGGCTGCTCGCGTTTTACTTGTTCAGGTTTAATGGGGTACCAAAGTAATGACTTGGCAATCAAAGCAGAGTGCCTGCCTGCAAGGGGACAGGCCTGTCTCAGGCCAGTTCCCCTCCCTCGCACTGCAGAGCCAGGCTGGCCGGACAGGCTTCCAGGCCCAGGTCGGCAAACAGGCTCCCGGCCATACTGCTGCTCTTTCGGTACGTACATGGGGCGCTGAAGTAGAACTGAAAGTCACAACAAAACTTTTATTCTGATAATGGCGATCTCATTTGTTGTAAAAATTTATGTATGGCTCCTAAACAATTTTCAAATTTGTGAGGAACAGGATTGGCTCTTGCGTCTCAAAGTTTGCCGGCCCCTGTAATGGTAACATGCAGCCCCCAGGTGTCGCCATCGGGCTGGCTCCCGACCCTGCTGGCTGGTGCGTGGTTAGTTTCCAGGGCTAGAGACAAACCCCTGTTAATGAGGCTTGTCGCTGGGAAGCCTTGCAGAGACCACAGGCACTTTCCTCGCCTGCAGACTGCCTTGGGCCGCTCAGGTCAGCGCTGAAGAGTTGGGGGAGAACATGCCCGGCCACCCTGCCTTTCCCTCTGGCTCCTGGCCCTCGGAGAAGGAAGTGGCCACAGAGTGAGGGGCTCAGGAGACAGAGTTGGCATGAGTGGGGGGCGGTGCCTGGGGAGAGGCCACCTGGAGGATGGAGTGGGAGGGAGCCGCTGGCCCCAGCCCCCAGGCTCCTCTTCAAGTGGCCCCAGGCCAGGCTGGAGGCCCAGGGTCTCAGGCCGGCCTGTCCCTCACTCTGAGAGCCAGCCGTTGCTGGTGAAGTCCGAGCGCAGCGCCGCCTCGTCCGAGGGGCTCAGCTCCAGCAGCGGGGCACGGCAGGGGCCTCCGTAGTAGCCGAACCAATCCATGGTTTTCTTCAGCCCTGGGATCCCAAAGCGCCGGGTCACCTGAGGAGCAGGACCTGTTAGAAGCAACAGGACCCCACCCTGGCACAACCATATCAGAACGCTGGGACTCCCACCCTCCGCCCCCAGGATGCATCACTCGGCCACATCTGACACCCAGGGTCGGGTAGGGATCCCGAGTCAGGGACCGAAGGCTTGCATTACTGAAGGAAGGTTTAAGAGAAAAAGCCAGTCAATGGGCTGGAAGGGGGCGGTACTGCTCTGGGCTGTGGAGCATCACCCACAGTCTGCAGCCCAGCCCCCAAACGTGGCTCTGCGCTTAGGAAGCCAAAGGGGCCTGCGAGAGCCTCAGACACAGCCCAGAGCTACGCCGTCACCTCCCACCCCACCGGCAACAGCTTGTTACGACCCTGATGAGTGCTCTCCCAAGAACTAGGCCTTGTTGCTCAAAGAGGTTTTGTTCTGGGACCTCGTGTCCTTATCAGCTCTGAGCAAGCTCCCTGGTCTGAAAAAGCCCACCTCTGCCTCTTTTTCATTGTCAAGTCCTGACGTGACTGCCCACTGCACTCGTGCTGGCGCCACGGAACAGAGAGCCTCGCGTTGCCTGACTTTGGGTGCAGCAGTCAGCCCTTTCATGCCGTTTGGAAGTGTGCTATGCGTCTTTGGCCACCTAAGAAACCTTAGGTGACCTGCACTTGGAGAGCAGGTTAAAACCTAAGACGTTTGGGCTTCCTGAAAAGCGGAAACCCAAGCTCACTGCCATCGAGGCCGTTCCGACTCATAGCAACCCTGTCAGGGTGCAACTGTCCTGTAGGCTTCCAAAAACCCCAAAGCTCAATGCCATCAAATTGATGCTGGCTCATAGTGACCCTGTAAGACTGGGTAGAACTGCCCTGTGAGTTTCCAAGACTAACTTCATGGGAGTAAAAAGCTTCCTTTTTGTCCTGCAGAGCGGCTGGGGGGCTTGAATCTCTGACCTGTGGTTAAGGGCCCAAGACATAATCAGGGCTCCTTTGGACTTTATGAAAGGAGTAAGGGAGGTTGTTTGGGATAAAAGGGTTGAGAGCCTGTGATAGATCACTGACTCATCCCCTCGGGAGGCCAGTAGACTAACTAGCATGGGTCTTTCCCTCGGAATGGATGGGTGGTCAGCCAGTCTCTTCTTAAGCCTAACCCCCAGCCGTGACTGTCTGATACCTTGGCCTTTCCCCACCAAACCTGAGAATGTCTCAGACAAAGTGGGAGAAAATGCAGAGCAAAAACTCTGATTCACAAACAAGGCCAGACTTCCTGGTGTGGCAGAGACAGGAGGGACCTCTGAGACTATGCCCCTGGAGAGCACCTTTCAGCTGGAACGGTAGGTGCATTCACTGAGCCCACCTGAGGGGGGTGCGCCTTGGAACAATCAGTTAATTACACGTGATCCGAGGGGCAGCATTCACCCAGAAGCAAAGCTGGACAGGCAGGCAGGCAGGGGAGGCATCCGGACAGAAGGCTGCGGGGAGCCGAGGGGAAGGCAACCAGGGCCACGGAGTGTCCTGGGATCCATGTGCACTTCACCCAGGGGGAAGCTCATTTGCCCTGTGAACTTTTGCCTAAAGCACAATAAATACTTCTAGAAACCTGAGTAGGGGGAAAGGGACATGAAGTGGCCAGAGGACTGCTCCTGAAGATCACGGATTGGTCAACCTCTGAGACTGGGCCGAATGTTTTGAAGGTATGCAGACCATGGAAAGTCCTAAATATAGCCTGGGGCGGGAGGACATTGTGTCCAACCATGGCCGGCCATAGGGTGACATCAAGCCACTCAGGGGGCTGAGCCCTCAGTCCAGGCAGCAGAAAGGTGTTCCAGGCATTCCTGAGTGCAGGCCCAGAGCTGACGCGGGAGAGAGCCCAGAGCAAGGGGCAGGCAGGACAAGGCTCTTTCTCCCAAGGGGCAGCCACACAGCTGCCTTCTGCGGTTGAGGTCATAACACCTAGTCTGGAGAGCTCAAGAAGGGCAGAGGAGGACAAAGGCCACTCATATTAGCCCCATCCCCAAGGAGCCCTGACAGCCCCTCCTCTTCCTGGTGTGGTGGCAGGGACCTTCTCTTTCCTGTGTGGGTGGGAATGAGAGCCGGGCCGCCCCCCACCCCCGTGGAATGCCTGGCCTGTGGAGACAGCCTGTGCCCAGAGGCCCTCATTCCTACAGTGCTGACATTCTAGAGTCATGTCCAGCGCCACGTTCGCCTCTCCTCCACCTGAGTCAGTCCACCCGTTGCAGCCTGTGCGTCAACAGCGAGGTAGGCTGAGAGCACACCCACCTCTCGATGCAGACACAGCTCTACGTGGTGCTGGGCCACAGTGGGGCACCGGCCTTGAATGCAAAATGGAAGAAGGTGCCCCGAAAACCCAGCAAGCAAGAGAAATAATATTCTCTACAAACCGAGTGCCCCCAAATCCATGGTGAATGAATGGCTCCGCCTTACATAGCCTTAGCGTCCCATACCCCTCCCTGGAGCCTGAGGCCCCTTGATACATGTTCTTAGGACTTTTTAATGGTTGGCTTGTTGTCCCTAGAAGTATGAGACGGCTTTAAAAAAATGTGAAAGTTGTTTTGCAAACAATGATGGCAACATAAGAACAAATGTGTTTGATACAATCGATGTATGGATTGTTATCAGAGCTGTAAGAGCCCACAATAAAATCATTTATTAAAAAAGGGGGGAGACGATTTTTAAAAAGTGAAAAAAAAAATCCACTATCTTTTATTCCATTCCCCCCCAAACTGTAAAACTCCCCGTCATCTTAATTGATGAGATGGCTTCTATTACAGCCAGTAAAGTAAAATTAAGATTATGTTTTTAGTATAAATAAGGTAATGTAAACTTAAAATAATGATGTGCATGTAAAGATACCTACTTTTTGACTGTTTATATCATTTTTACAGCTATTTCAATATCCTGAGGGGGAAAAAATAACCATGTGAAAAATAATGAGTCCGTGTGGGATAGATGTACTTTGCTGTCCGCGCTCACTAAGTACAACTGAAAGCCCGAGGCACGATACAGAAACACGCACGAGGCTCTAACAGTGGGGAGAAGATTGACCAGTGCCCAGAGTTCAAGGGCCAACACAGTGGAGAGTTGTCAGGGTTTCCTCCGGGCTCGCCTCTCTTGCAAAGGAAGCCAACAACCCAGAAACGCCAGTGGACGCAGACCATAAGGAAGATGAAGTCCAGCCAACAGTCCACTCTCTCGCCCCAGGACCGGCAAGATCAAGCTTTAAAACAGCAGTAGGTCTGCTCCAGACAGAAACTGGGAAGTGATACAACTAGGGTTCCCACTGTGGCCAGGAACAGCTGAGAAGGGACCCTTCACCAGGCTGTCAGGAGGGTCCCAGTCCCTGGCTCCCATGCTGGGTTGGTGTCAGAGAAGGACAAGTTGGGGAACAGGGCTCCTGTCTCTAAGCGTTCGTGTGGACCCCTCTGACCCAGCAACAGAATTAGTGGAGTCTTTAAGGGGAGCCTGAGTGTCCACCCTTCCTCAGAAGTGGGTAAGAAGCTCCGGGGTTAAGTCCTTGGCTAACCAAAAAGTCAGCCGTTCACTAGCCCACCCAAGGGGAGGGTATTGTTTATATCTCCACAGGCAAAGAGGGACCAGACGTCAACCCGGTGCTTCAAGATGTGAATGCAACATACTGGCATGAAGCAGGGAACCAGTGGGGAGATCCGAGGAGCAGGCCCCAATCTAAACTACGTGGACACCTGCTCCTCCCCCCAGAAGAATTTACTTCAGAGGACAGCACTGAAGCTGCAGCTCAGAGATAGGGACATGTCTGATCAGAGCACACAGGAGCAAATAAAGGGGGAGGAAAAGAGAGGAGCGAGTGCATCCTGGGCCACCAAGCCTGGAGGACGATATCCCCGCCCAGAACAGCCAATACACAGAGTGGACCATATGGCTGATCCCACTATGAGACACGCCATCCCTCGCTGGCCCAGGGCCCTAAGGAGGACAACACTGGAGACACGATTGCGCCCGATCTGACCCCACCACACCAAGGCAAAACACTAAAGGTGTACAACAGAATAGCAAGGGGAGCAAAGCAAGTAAGTCCCCAGGGAATACCAAAAATAGGCTTTGGGACCAGGGTATGGCACCCCATCAGACTCGACTGGAAAACACTCTTAAAGTTCAACAAACAGACCTTGAACTATTTACAGGCTTTTCTTTTTTCGGTCATTGTTTTTGTTTGTTTGTTTTGTTTTCTTTTGTCGCTTTGTTTTGCTCTGTCTTGTTTTTTTTGGTGCATATTATTATCTCTGCAGGTCTATCTAGATAAGCTAGTTGGATAAACAATCTGGAGGAGAAAACAACAGGACTGATGGTTCTGGGGGTACATGGGAGAAGGGGAAGTGAGGGAAAGGACGTGTCAACCAACCCAGGGACAAGGGAACAAGTGATCCAAAAATCAGTGGTGAGGAGGGTGTAAGAGTCCTGGTAGGGCTTGATCAAAGGCAATGTAACGGAGAGGAATTACTGAAACCCAAATGAAGGCTGAGCATGACAGTAGGACAAAAGGAAAGGAAATAGAGAAAAGAGCTAGGAGGCAAAGAGAATTTGTAGAGGTCTAAATACAGGCATGTACATATGTAAATAAATATGATGATAGGGAAATAGATCTAAGTGCATATATAATTAAGTTAAGTATTAAGGTAGCAGATGGACATTGGGCCCCTACTTGACTCCCTCAATGCAAGAACACTGTATTCTATTAAACTGGCATTCCATGATGCTCACCTTCCCGACATGATCCCTGAAGACAGTGGGTACATAAGCAAATGTGGTGAAGAAAGCTGATGGTGCCCGCCTATCAAAAGATATAGTGTCTGGGGTCTTAAAAGCCTGAAGGTAAACAAGTAGGCATCTAGCTCAGAAACAACAAAGCCCACATGGAAGAAGCACACAAGCCTGTGTGACCACGAGGTGTCAAAGGGATCAGGTATCAGACATCAAGGAACAAAAAAATCATATTGTGAATGAGGGGGAGTGCACATTGGG